TAAATACTACAATTAGTATGCTTAAAAATTACGCTATACATTAATATATTTCACTCACCTATCGGGATTTTTTAATTGCCCCTGAACAATCCAATTCGTAGCAGTTATTTCTTTAAATATGCAAAAAAAAATGTCAACGTCCTCTTCATTGTTTAAATTGCATCGTATCACCGATACATTATTTTTTTTACTTTCTACTAATTTGCAATGCAAATCCTTATTAATATTATTGATTCCATCAATTATACAATTAATCATTTTTGCATTGAAATTATAACGTTTAATTTAGAAGTATACATCTAAAGTTTGATAAAAACAGATTGTGTTAAAATAGATTGTATAAATCTATTAAAAGTCGACCAATAGGAGCGCGGCATTTGATGCGCGCTCTGTAGCGTCTAGGGTTTCATATATCGCTTACCGGAGGATGCCTGCTCGCCACATCCTTTAGCAGTAATCCCTGGACCCTGCCTCACCAGTACCACGGTTTCGATGCAGTCGCTGGATAACGACCGGGTCGAACCTACAACAACACTCCTCCCTGCAGGCCCTGGAATCTACGAAACTCCTGGAGCGGTAACTGTGTTTTTATTATGGTGTCCTTCCATATTTGGTTTTACGGGTGTCCTTNTATGGTGTCCTTCCATATTTGGTTTTACGGGTGTCCTTCCCTGCGTTTTACCTACCGCCAGGGGATTTGTTTTCAGTGTTGCCTTCACCTAGGTGGTCGCCTTACCAGGCTATCGGGCCTACCCGCCCGTTATGAAATTACAACGTTACCACTAAACAGTTAATAGATATTACGTAAAAATAAAGAATTATGAAATTAGCAATGGTAAATCACGCTATATTAAATTCAAATGTTGTATGAGACAAACTAAACATGATAATATACGTTACATTCCACTTGTGAGTTAGAACTAATCGTTATGTACATTACTAGTCTTTTAAAGAGGTAACTTATATAATAGTGGGCCAAAAAAGAAAAACTAAATAACAATAATACAACTAAATATATACATATACAACTACATATTTCTGTTTGATACATTTACCGCGATTTGATAAAGTAGATCATTACGGATTACATTGTAACGAAAAGTTTATGTAATCGCATATCAATTGCATAAAACATTCCATGAGCCATAAATCTTACAATAATGAACTATACTTTTAAACCAATTTAATTATTAATAAAATCTCAGTCATAAAAATGATAAAACATCGAGTGATTGCAATAATTATCAACATAATAAATTTAAAAAAAGGGATTTTTCAAAACTAATTTTATATCGGTTTCGGTAAAATACCAAAGTTGAAATTTTTACCATAAAAAGTCAACATGTGTAACAATATTGTTTGAAATTTTTATGATTAAATTTTCTGTCCCATCGCAGAAAAAGTAAGTTAAAATTGCCTAAAAATCGTTATTTTAGTAATTTGAACTATTAGCTTCCATGCGAAGCTGAGAAGGAATTATTTTACTATGATGTGTTTTTTTTTTGTGTCTGTTACCACTTTTTCTCAGCTCTCACCGAATCGATTTCTTTCAATGATCCGTCAAAAGATCACAAATCGTATCTAGTCGAAGACATTACCCTCAAAAATTGAAAAAATTTTCCTCGTTTCCCGTAAATGGTGGAAACCTCCAAAAAAATTACAAATTTATGAGCTTTATTTTATCTTCACGGTGAAAATGGCTACCGAATGCTATTTTTGTGTGAAAATTCTCGATTTTATTTTTTACATTTTTTTAAAATTTTATAATGCTATAACTTATTGAAAAGTGTATCGATCAACACAATTTTTTAATGAGAAATAGTATTTATATACATCTTTCATTGGACTAACTGTTTTTTTAAATTGGACCATTTCCTTTACATTAAATAAATAAATGAATTGGATGTATTAGCATGAATATAAAA